TGGGTGTGGAGGGGTGGGGGGGGGGATATGATGGGGGGAACACCCCGTGAATGTTGGGGTGCACCAAGCCCTGGCTCGAGCAGAGCTCTTGCAGAGTAGCAGGGTGTTATAATAAACCAAACACATTTATTTTATCATCTCTTATCTCCACCACCACCAAACACACCCAGAAAGGGCAGGGGAAGCTGGGGGAGATGCTGGACGGGGAGGCAGCACCCCATGAATGTTGGGGTACCCCAAAACCCGGCCCTGTCAGAGCTCTTGTGAGGCAGCAAAGATATGAAACCCCCTTTGTTTTCCCCTCCTCAGTCTCCACTGCCAACGAATACGCCTGCAAAGGGCTGGATAAGCTGGAGGAGAAGCTGCCCATCCTGCAGCAGCCCCCGGAGAAGGTAGTGGGGTGGTGGGGGGGAACATGCTCGAGGTCCCCCTGCCCAGTGCTGCTTAACAGAGGGTTGTGTCTCCCCCCACCAGCTCATCTCAGACACCAAGCAGCTGGTGACCTCCACGGTGACAGGGGCCAAGGATGTCCTGACCAGCACCGTGGCCGGGGCCAAGGACGCGGTGACCAGCAGGGTGACAGGGGTGATGGACATGACCAAGGGGGCTGTGCAGGGCAGTGTGGAGCTCACCAAGTCAGCTGTGAGCAGCAGTGTCAACACTGTCATGGGCTCAGCCGTGGGCCAGATGGTGGTGAGCGGGGTGGGCTCCGTGCTGGAGAAGTCAGAGGAGCTGGTGGATCATTACCTGCCCATGACGGATGAGGAGCTGGGTAAGGAGCTGGGTTGGGTAGAAGCCTGAGCAGGGCAATGCTGGCTCTGCGTGGACTTGGTGGTGGTGCTGCCACCTCAGCAGCTCCTCTCCCCTGCAGCCAAGCTGGCCACGGCCGTGGAGGGCTTTGAACCAGAGCAGCAGAAGCAGCAGCAGAGCTACTTTGTGCGTCTGGGCTCCCTCTCGGCCAAGCTGCAGCACCGAGCCCTCCAGCACTCCCTGGGCAAGCTGCAGAGTGCCCAGCACAGCAGCCAGGACCTGCTGGCCCAGCTCCAGCGCACCCTCGACCTGGTAAGACCTGTCCCCAAGTCCCCCCCCCTCCCCGTGCCACCCCGGGGGTTGTAGCAGATCACCCAGGTCTCTGCTGCTTCTCCCCAGGTGGAGCACCTGAAGCAGGGTATGGACCAGAAGCTGCAGGGAGGGCAGGAGAAGCTGCAGCAGATGTGGCTGGAGTGGAGCAAGAAGCAACCAGGTGGTGGCAAGGACCTGGTGCCACCAGAGGTAGGTGGAGAGAAAG